TCGAAGAGGATGGTTGAAAATGGTCCGTGCATTGAAGATGAATAGTTATATATATATATATCTAACATAGGCCATAGCCTGTCCACATACTTAGCGCCAAGTCTGGCAGGACCTTGAAAGACCTCAAGGAGCAACAGCACAAGTGAAGGCTGATTTCGCCAAGAACACTTGGGGGCAGCTCCGGGGGATTGGAGCTTCGTTGCCAATGTAGGCCATCAAAATCCCGGTGTGCGCTTGGGTCGCTGGTTGCTGGGGTGTCTCATGAGTCCTGTGCTGTGGCTGTGGGTCATATTCTTTGAGAAGCGTGCAAGAATGGACTAAGGTGTCAGCTGCTGGAGGACAGCCTGCTCCAAGGCAGGCTCCACGACCAGCGACTCTTGGCGGAATTGGCATCTCAAAGAGGAAGAATGTACTGTATTGCTGCTGTATGTATTTTTACATATGTAGACGCAAACCTAACGTGTTGGCTGACACGAGGCGCTCTTATGGGCTTCACATGTGTTGCTGTCCCCTGAGGAATTCTTACACGCCCATGCAGACCATGAGACCTCCAGTGAGCGAGTGGCCTCAGCCTAGACCTTAGACTCGGACCTTGCCGCTTCCAGCTTCAACTGAGTGCCGGACTCAGGCGGGCGAAGCCTCCCAATGTGGCTGCTGGCAACATGGGCATGAACATGGGCATGAACATGGGCATGAACAATGCGAGTTCATCGCTGACCCAAGCTTGAAGCTGAATTGAGCCCTCGTGAGTGAGTCCCTTGCGATGAGAGTGTGAGCTTTGAAAGCTATGCGAGTCCTCTGACTCTGAGGTTCGGAGGGCTAGTGGCGACCCAAACGAAATGCAGGTGCACATGCAAATCCCACCGAAGCGACTTGGCTTTAGTTTAGGTTCCCGGCCCAGGGTGGCTCATGGGTGAGTAAACTGGGTGTACAGCACGTGCTAGATGTCTCTCTTCAGCAGTCATCCCGTTTCACATCGGCATTTTGTCAGCATCAAATCAAAGTGGCCAGCAGAACTGGCCTTGTCCTCATTCATGCACTAGATCACTCTAGAGACAGGTTTTCAGGTCTGATCTTTCATTCGAACACCATTATGCCGAACGGCACTGTGAAAATCCATCGGAAAGCTGAGGTACATTGGCCCCATTTTGGGCAAGGAGGGAGCGCAAATAAAGCTGTGGCCTTGGTAGCCGAGACTTTAGGAAGTCAATCTGCCTTGACATGCCCATGCCTTGGCGTTGATGAGGTTAAGAGTCAGGAGTGTTGCCTAAAGAGAAGTAGCAGGGGGAGTAAGTGAGAGTGAGCACGTTGGCATGCCATATCTTTTCTTTGATACAGCACGCAGGAGTTCACCTTTTCAAGAGTCGGAATCACCTGGAGTAGTATTAGCCACTTACAATGATTGCCAGTCATGATGCTAACTGCAGTCAGGTGCACTTATTGTAAGTTTTTCCCCAAGCCCTCATGCCATAAAGATGAGTGCCGTGTGCAAGTCGACCGGCCTTGCCTGGCCAAGGCAAATCGTAACAGAGTCTGGCTGCGCGAATGTGTCTGTTCGGATGCTCGGTCGGAACCTGCGTCTGGCTTCGCCGCCGACTGGGCCACAGCGGATTTTGCAGATCTAGAAAATAGACATTTAGACTGAAAGCCAATGGGGCACTGAGCTGGTCACGCCAATGCTACCTGGATAGGCTTCTCGTCCGCTGTGTTTGGGCTCAGGGACGGCAAGAGCGGGTGGGACTTGTGACCTGAAAGATGAAGAAAGGCCGGGCAGCGAAACAATGCAAGATGCGCATGGCGCAGGGTTGCAGCGTGGCGACGCTGCTGAATTGCGCGGATAATAGTGGGGCCAAGCGCCTTGGCGGCAGTCAGTCGAGTGTTTGGATCCTCATGACTCATGTGGGTTAGGCACAGCCACCTCACCGCTACTTTCGAGAAAAGGAAACTGCTTCAGCCTGCTTGTCGGGGGCCAGAATTTCTGGAACCGACTTGGCAGTATGAATCAATGTCTGGGCCGTCGCAATTGGTGTGCCAGGAATCTTTACATCATTGCGGTGATCGGCATCGGAGGACGCTTGAACAAGCTGCCCAACTGCTCCCCGGGCGACCTGGTCTTGTGCAGTGTGAAGAAGGGAAAGCCAGAGCTCCGAAAGAAGGTGCTGAAGGCGATTGACATGCCTCCCTGGAACATGCGAACATGCTAACGGAATATGAATAATTCTTTGCACTGATCAGGGTCAGTGACAGGGTGGACCACCTCCAGACCACAGAACTACACGGAAAGAGCTGATGACATTCCGATACCGGCCTCTTTTGAGCACCTGAGCACCTGAGCACCAGGGTGTGGTGATTCGCCAGAAGAAGGCCTGGCGCCGCCGCGAGGGTGTCTTCGTATACTTCGAGGACATGCCAGCATCCACCGTACGGCCTATACCTGGAGTTGCGAACGTTTTGCCTGTTTTGCAGATTTTGTTCAGTCAGGATGTTGACCTATTCCTGCAGTAAGCCGCTAGCCTGGCTAGCCCTATATAAATAAGTCTAGAAGTAGTTCGATATCCTCTTCTTGCTTATGATTCCTTGGGAACTTGGAGGACAACGCAGGGGTGATTGTGAATGACAAAGGTGAGATGAAGGGTTCTGCCATCCAGGCGCTTCGTGTGTGTGTGTGTGTGCGTGTGTGTGTAACCCTTGGAATCATAGGGATCCTTTTGGATTGGTCCGGTTTGCTTTTTCGCTTTGTGTTACAGCAGGGGGGCTGGTTGTTCATGCAAGTACCAGCCCAACGAAGAGGCTTGCATTGAACACTGATATCGGTGGGGACGCTCACCGACGTAGCTGCATTTTTTCTTTTCCGGATGGCATGAGGCTAAGCCAAGAACCTCATTGAACTTGACTTTTCTGCACGTATGTCGTCACCTTGTCGTCCGTTCGATCGGTGTTTTCTTTTGGAGTTGTTGGCCACCTGAAACCTTTGAGACCTCCACAGGCTGGACCTCCTCTTCTTTTTTAGGTTTCCTTACCTGTACCCTTAGGAAATGGAACCCTAGGCCGGCGTGTGGCACCGCATTCAGTTCCGTACACCATATCTCAAGTGTGTTTGGCCCTGTGCCAGCCCGGGATGAGCCTGCAGAGTGCCTCCCGTGGACCCGTCGAACGGGTGTACGTCGTTATCTCCCCTGCCCGGAGATGTGATGTAGATGCCCAGAGCGGGCGAAGGTGGCCTAGGCCGTACGTACGATGAATTTTGTCTCATCTTTGGAATTCCAAGTTGGCTCATGCCTTTACGTGACCGCAGCGGTCCAAGCTGGCTTAACGCCTCAACGTGGTCAGAGCGACCGAAGTACTTTTGAGGTTCATTGGAACCTGTCGAGCACTTAGCCCCCCCTTCTCCCCCTTCCCTCCCCCGTTCTTTGATTGTTTTCTGGGGCTTTCCTGAATGCAATACTGTACTCAGGATCACCCCTCTCTTTCTTGGGTGTGTCCCTGGACGATTGTTCGTAGCTGGGAACACCTTCCTTTCCTCTCCCTTTCTCTCCCTCTCTCTTTCTTTCCTTCTCTCTTTCCTCTCTTCTCCCTCTTCCCTGGGTGTCCCTGGATGCTTCGTCATAGCTGGGAGCCCTTCTTTTTGGTGTGTCCCTGGACGCATGTGTCGTAGCTGGGAGCACCTTTGTCTCCTTCTTTCTTTCCCTCTCTTTTCTTCCTCCCCCTGCCCCCTCTTTCCTCGCGCGCGGCGTGTTTGCACGCAAACTAGGCTTCTGCAACAGGTTTCTCTAATGAGGTTTGGTTTGTCAGCTGTTTGTCCCTGTTCATTTGGTTCCCCTTTCATCGGCCCCCACAGACGGTTTTTTTCCTCTTTTCTTTCACGTCTTTCTGTCTTCATGTCTCTTCATCCTCATCCTTTCTTTCTCTTGCGCGCACTATCGTCCGGACCTTAGTTTGTACACACACACGCAACCCCCGATGGAATATCCCCAATAAAATGGACGTACTCGAGTACAAAAACCCCATGTCTTTTTATAGGGAGGCTTGCTATAAAATGATGTGTCAACCTGGTAGCTTGTGGCCAGAATTATGTGGGCCGCCATATAGATAGAGGTCTGCCTGTTTTGACATTTGATTTTATAGGAGTGAGGTGGTATGAGCCCCGATTTTATAGCAGACCAAGCCTTACAATAATTAGAAGTTGGTTCTTGACTTTTGCAAGGATTCATTGGAAGGCAAGAACAGAAAGCCGTTCATGATCTTGATCAAAGACATCATGGACTCTCACACGTAGCATACCGCACATTTCTTTGAAAGCATCGATCGGGGAACCAGCAATCAAGCGGATTGCTTTGGACATCAGAACAATCAGACAAACGCACAGGGGAAAGAACCTGCTCATCGCTGATGCTGTCAGATTTTGCAAACCAAATCCCTATAAATCCAAGTCTCAGCCCAGTTGAACCCAAACAACTCACTATAAATTCAATTCCGACCTGGGCAAAATAAAGGTAAATCTACCTCAAACCTAGATCATATTTTACGTCTTATTTCTGATTTCGGGCGCCTTAGATGTTGAGACTTGATTTTATAGAGATTTACTGATTCATGTCGAGTCTTCATTTTATAGTGGAGAGATTGCTTGCTGGATGTTGGGGCAGGCGATTTATGTGTATAAAATCACGCTCCCCAGACCTACCGGTAATTCCAACGGGGATTACACGCACGCGTATTACTTACAGCGAGGTTCAGGTGGCCCAGGTTCGTTACAATGAGGTTTGGCTCATCGGTTGTCCCTCTTCACTTGGTTCCTTTTCATCGGCAACCACAAACACCTTTGTCTGTCTTGTCATCTGTCCCTTTTGCGTGCACATGTGCCTACCTCCTTTCCGGGCAGGATGGAGGTCACACATGCCTCCCTTCGGGGAGGCGTGTGTGTGTAACCCTTGGAATCATAGGGATCCTTTTGGATTGGTCCGGTTTGCTTTTTCACTTTGTGTTACAGCAGGGGGGCTGGTTGTTCATGCAAGTACCAGCCCAACGAAGAGGCTTGCATTGAACACTGATATCGGTGGGGACGCTGACCGACGTACCTGCATTTTTTCTTTTCCGGATGGCATGAGGCTAAGCCAAGAACCTCATTGAACTTGACTTTTCTGCACGTACGTCGTCACCTTGTCGTCCGTTCGATCGATGTTTTCTTTTGGAGTTGTTGGCCACCTGAAACCTTTGAGGCCTCCACAGGCTGGACCTCTTCTTTTTTAGGTTTCCTTACCTGTACCCTTAGGAAATGGAACCCTAGGCCGGCGTGTGGCACCGCATTCAGTTCCGTACACCGTATCTCAAGTGTGTGTGTTTGTGCACGACAACTTCCCAAATGAGCATTCACTCAAGTTCCTGGAAACCAAAGGCCATCCCGTTGACCTCCTGTTTCGCCAGGGGCCTGTGGCCAAAGAGTGCGCCGAGCTTTGGCCAAAGATTGCCTCCTGTGCTCCTGCCATTTGCTGAGCCTCGTGGTTCTGTTGGACCTGCCTCCGCCCGCAGCCAAAACAGAACATGAGAAGAGCTCTAAGCTCGGGATGGGAGACGCTTGGGTCTCGGTGGAGCGCCCCGTGAAGGATTGGTGCTCTGTTTTTCCGCGCATTTTTGGCATCAATTTCAGTGTGGCCGCGTTGCGGCAATGAAGTTTGGCAAAGGCTCCAGGGCATCCATGCGAACCGTCGTTTCTTTTTTTTTAATGGTTCTTTGGTTCGAGAGAGCCTTTGCGGTTCAGAAGGGGCATCATCCTCTCATCCGGTTTTTGGGAGTTTGCGAGGATGCGAGCAACTAAGGTCACAAAAAGAGAAGCTGGATCGCAGGAGCGACGCGTGGTCTTTGTTGGAGGCAGGATCTTGGACTTCGAGTCTTTGAGAAGCGGTGCGCAATTGCCCTACCAGCGAGTGTCATCACTGCCCTACGTCACTTAGTCTCAGTGTAGTTTCGGCATGCTGCCAGGATTCGATGAATGTGCGAGAGCTCAGCAATCCGTGATGAGCTGAGTGCAGATCAACGTCTTCTGCAGCGCCTCTCTGACGTCTCCTCCCGCAGAGTTCAACAATTGCTTTCAATGTCTCCATGTGAGGTTTATCAAATCTATGCGGGTGCTGCAGCTGAAGCCGGTGAGGAGGCATGGCGTGAACCATGGAGTCCATTTGAGCGACGGGTTTGTGATCGGCATCCAGGTCAATCCAGGTCTTTGAAAACAGTTAAAACTTGTTCCTAGTAGCCCCTTGTTCCTAGTAGTACGGCCAGGAGCCACCATTAGCGCCCTTGCTCCCAGTAGCGATGCCCAAATCTCAACCTTCTCTGGCAGGCAAGCCTCACCTGCTTCATGATGGCTGGGCAGCCTGGAGCTATCACGGTTCTTACAAAAGCCTGCCGTTGCATGTCTACATCCACAGTTCGCCCCTGTGGTAACCCCGAAAAGGGGTTGGAGACATCTTCCCACAGTGCCCAGACCCAAGCCCGGGTGTCCCCTCGTGCTTTCCGAGATGAAACACAACTTCTTTCGAGACATTCTGGTTGCATGCATGAAAACACGTTTCAACCATGGTTCCATATACCAAAGGGCAAAATCCTCACACTCTCACTCATGATTGAATTTTGATGTGGACCTCTGAACGCGTGCCAGCTTTGGTTTCCTTAGGGTGCTGCAGCGACTGCCGTGCCTGCACAGTCTCAGGTCCCGACAACCTCTGCAGGGGCTGTGATCGGCAAGCAGGCCGCCGGCGGCAAGCCGGTCGACGTGCACAAAAAGCAGCCAAACTGAAAGAATCATGCAAGAGGGTTCCTAAGAGAACAGGTTAAAGATGAATACAGGGATGTGAAATCGGGGCAGATTCGGTGGGACGCCTGGTCGGATTGGTTAGTCTGTGGTCCTATTTTGTGGTCCATTGGGGGCAGCCAGCCGGGCGCCCGATTCCAGGGAGCCAATCTGAAGGAGCTCCGTGAAACGCATGGAGCTAAGACGGGAGAAGGACCCAAAAGAGCTTCCCAAAGATGATAGAAGCAGCACAAATCTGACACACTGTTTTTGTATACATAGACAGTATGCATGTATCTCTGCAATAATCTTTATGGTTGTAGGGTGCCACCTCCAACAGAATGTGGGTGAGACAGTGAGACCGGGTGAGGGGTCTGTAGTTGTTGGCTTTGGAAAGGCGGAATACATCAGAATCAGAACTAAAGCATCTTGTGTGGTTGGAGATGAAGATGTTGGCCAGCTGAATGGCGGATGGGTTGTTCTCTTGGCATCTCAGGCTCAGCTTGAAGGTGATACTTTCAAAAGAAGAAATTGAAGGCCATTTGGGGCGGAACTGTCTAACATTCTGTGATTCCCAGCGGTGACAACTTGGGTTGGCGCCCGAACAAGACACAACAATGTCGTCATAGTGTGAGTGTAGCCGGTGTGCACGATGTGACTTCTTATTGAAACGGGCGTGCTTTTGTCATCAGAGAGGAACGGACACCCCTGTATGGATTTGTGGAGATTTGTAACAAGAAGCTACTAAGTTACTAGGAACAAGTGCATCGCTTCTAGTAACAAGTGCCTTACTAGTAGTAACAAGAAGCTATTAGGAAGATTTGTATGGGTTTGCGGGGTTCGCCATTGCCCTCAGGCTTCAGACCCTGCACATTGAGCGGGTCCGGTACTCAGCCCGCAAGTGTGAGGGAAATGCAAGCACTCGAGAGAAACGTGTTCGTTTCCACTTCTGTAAGAGCTGAGTAGTTTTGCTTTATGGATGAAGTGGCTGAGCTCAAGGGTTGAAGAACTGGTCCTGCGCAGGGCTCTGGACTCCATCCTGGAAGCAGAAAGACGCATCCAGGAACAGGCGTTACAGCATGGGTGGCAGGGTCACAGCAAGTTATATAGATGAAGGTCGAGCGTTGCTAGAGTTGGCGGGGTTCTTTGATGAGGGCCTGCGTGCCCTTTGCAGAGTGGCCGCGTGCCTGGGCAGATCGTGTCTCCGGATGGTCCTCCTCCTTCCAATGGCGGCGTGAAGCGGTTGCTGGACGCTCCTCGGCTCGAGTCCAGTGGGTCAAAGCAGAGGCACTGAGCAGCAACTACTGTGGGTCACTGCAGATAGATGTGAAATGGCGGTGCCTCGACCCACCTTGAACCCTAAGGCTCCAGAGCCAGAGCCCTTTGAGAACAAGTCCCATGGGACCTTCATCAGCGCATATAGTGAGCCAGAGGCATCACTGTGTGGCTTTTGCGACTATGGTATTTGGGTTCCGATCATTTCTGACCAATGCCGTGAACATGTAACATGCGCTTGTTTGCTTACTGGGACGGGCTGACATTGCCATTGTTTGTTGGCAAAGTTGTCTCCGTGTGTGTTGGTTTGTGCAGATCTTGCAAGACATCGAGCTTTGCCAATATAGAAGCAAGTAACATCAAGTAACTATATAGATGTACTGAGTACTGTAACTAGAATTGTTTTGAGCTTCTCTCGGCTTTTCAAGCTCTCACAGATCCGTTTCTGTCCTTCCTCGATGTCCTTTCTCTTTGCCCGTCTCCCGGCCTCCGTCGCTCGGACGGTCTTGTCAGGCCAAACGACCTCGCCCATCCGCCGCCGCACCAAGAACCACGAGTGAATCAACGAAGATCTTAGTGACGGGGGCCCCAGGCATTGGGATTCCAATAGCTGTGCATGGACTCGGATTTGGGATGTAGGGGAAGTTTGAAACTTGAAAGATCCTTGAAGCTTTTGGTAAGGAGTCGGATTCCATTGCTGTAGGTGTTGCAGTGTATGTAGATAACTATCTCTCCCTCTCTCTCTATACTATACATGTGCATATAAACTTCGCGGTTTTGCTGCGGCATGCTTGACTTTCCAGGCCTGCAAATGTGGCAGGGGCCATTATTGGCAAGCAGGGTTCGACCCTGAAGCAAATTCGGGAAAGCTTGGGGCTTAGATTCTTCATTCCTGAGAGGTGTTTGCACGGCTCAGTGTGGTAGTGATGTACAGTATTTTTGCGTTCAACATCGCCCGGGCAATTCTTGTGGCGGAAGTTTCTCCCCAGCAGGTAGGTCAAAACCTGTTTAAATCCCTACTTTTCCTGTACTTTGTCCCGAAAGTTCCCTTTTACTTTTTTCTTTTGCTTGGGCCTTGAGTGTTTAGATTTTGTTTTCCCTTTGATTTCATCGCTTCGCCCATCGATTCTGGCATTGAGTGGGTGTTGTCGGAGTCCGTCCTGAATTGGTCTTTAGAACAGTTTCCCTCAGACTCCACGCCCTTGTTTCCAACTGACAGCCTCAAAAGATTTGCACAACCACATTCTTGTGACGACCCCATTATCCCATGTCCATGTCTTGCCCAAAGTCTCATTCTATAAGTAGTTTAATTCAAGGTCTTTCTTACTTCGTTTCCGTGATCACTCCTTTGTGCCATGCGAACCTTTGTGCCAGTGCAGTTTTTCAGAGGGTGTTTGCTGGGCATGAAGTGCCGTCAGGGGTACTGTAGAACGTCGGTCAATTCTCTAGAAAGATAAAAATGACCGGATAACCCCACATCTGAAGCTTTAGCGTTTATATTTATAATAAAGTAAGTGGAGGCAACAGCTCAAGGAAGAGAAGTGATATCTGATAGCGGATGAGTGTATGTGGACGATGAGTGGAGATGTGAAGTAAGATGGTGAACATATGAATGTGACTGAGTGAGAGTGAATCAACCACCCAAGGAAACGCAAGGACAACCCGCTGAGTGTAAGTGAGTGAGTGCAAGTGAGTGCAAGTGAGTGAGTGAGTGAGTTGAATTGAGTGGAGTGTTGAGTTGGTCGAGACGGGTTGGTGTGACGAGGAGAGGACGGAAGGTCGGAGGCAGCTGGGATGCTCGGGATGCCCGGCAAAAGTAAGAACCCCACACCAAGATGTGCATCTCACAGGGAATCGCAAGGAAGGGCAAGGGCAGCGACCAAGGCGTCAGGAGAGCCTCCCACTCAAAGGCAGGGAAACGCAAGTGCAGGAGGCAGCCCACCAGCGCCGCATGGCGCGTCTAAGACCAAGAGCTAGCAAAGCGCAGCAAAACGCAAGGTCGGTGGAAGTGAAAGTGAGTGGGGAAAAGGGATGAGTGCAAGTTGTGTGAGTTGAGCTGGCGTGGGTGTCAGTGAGGGTGAACATACTGTAAGCGAGTGAGTGAATATAAGTGAATGAGTTGAGTTGGTGTGTGAGATGAGTGAGGAGGCTGAGGAGGGCCGACGGGATGCAGAGCAAGAGTGAAAAAATATATAAAGAACCACATGTCGTTCCTAGGTGCCCAGTAGTAACAGGTGCCTTACTAGTAGTAACAAGAAGCTACTAGGAACAAGTGCCACGCTAGTAGTAACAAGTGCCTTACTACTAGTAACAAGAAGCTGCCAGTGAACCAGCACCGCTGGCTCCGTTCAGCTGCCGATGCAGGTTCCGGAGCGTCCATTGATGTGGTGAAAGAGGCCCTGGTTGGAGACATTGGCATCAGTGGAAGATCAAAACACAGATCAGTGTTGGTTTTCCTTTTTTTGACATGCAAAGTTCCATAGAGAGCTTCCAATGTTTCAGGAAGCAGGAAACAGGATGATGGTTAAATCAAGTCACCCTGTAGCGCGCTTACCAGCGCCGTTTGGACTCGGCTGACATTTCCTGCCTTCCAGACCCAGACGCCTGAATTTCCTGGCGAGCGTGTGAGACTCAGTTTCTTTCGATGGCTTCCCCTTGAAGTGGCTTGGCATTCCAGCATTGTGCTACAAAACAATCTTGTGGGAGGGTCCTCCATAGCTTCAACAGGGCCATGACAACCATCTGGGAAAGACACGATCAAAAGTAGACGGTGGTTGCGAAGGAGCGCGGCCAGTCGCTTAGGTTTTTTGTTGATCATGGCCAGTCATGTTGGGCCGAGGTGTGGTGAATGTCAGGGGTAGCTTAGATGTTCGACGGAATGCGTTGCCTCAGGCGCAATACGGAGGGAGCCGAAGTTTGAAGTGTAATCAGATCGGAATGCGTTGTTTCTATTACCTGCGCGACAAGGTTGAAGTAGGAAAGCACCAGCAGGAATAACAGTTGTGGTGCTTCAGAACCTGAAGGTTTTGGGATTCTGTGCGTGACACTGTTCGTCGGGAGGTGCTTACAGCCGCCTTTGAGAAAGATCCAGCTGTCATGGCCTTGGCTACAACATCGTTTGAAGTTTTTGTGATCTTGAGAAACCAGCAACGCTCAGAAACTCTGCTGTCACTTTGCGCTACTTGAGTTGCTTCAGTCCTTTCAAGAAAAGGGAGTCGGAGGTGGAGCAAACCGATAAGCTAAAACTTAGCCTCTGCACTCTTTTAGTTCAATCCTCGCGTGGTTCAACTCCATGTTTACCCTCACCAACCATATGCCCAGCCATCGCAAATCGCTGCTCAAACCTTTGTGGTCATGAAAGTGAAAGTTTCCGAAAAGAATGACCGATCCAGCCGTTGTGGTTCACCATTCACAGTGACTCACAGCGATTCACTGCGGTCTACCAGTTCCAGAATACACCTGCGTTTTGTGGGTGGCGAGCCACTCACCTCCCAGCCACTCACCTCCCCTCGGGACCACTGAGAATGCCTTGATCAAGATGATGGTGCCCAGCAACCTTGTGGGTGGCATCATTGGCCGGCAGGGGGCCAATCTAAAGGCCGGGCTGGCTTGAAGTTGCAAGCTGTTTGAGGGGAAGAGCCTGGCTTTGGACGATGATAGTGCGACATGAGTCAACCAGTCAACCTTCATTTTCCATGACCTTGCCGTGACAGGGATTGACAGAATGATGTCAAAACAGTGATGATGAATGAATCACCGTGCTACATCTGACAGAGCAGCACTGAAGTGGGGCTCAATACAAGGATCTTCCATCCCAGATTGAAACTGGACGGCCTGATAGAATCGCTTGAGATGCCGAGACCACATTTGTCCTGCTCCAGGCTATTCGAGAGCAATGTGGCATCCATGTGCAGGCAAGGTGCCTTTTCTTGTCCCGCGGGCATAGCTGACAAAAGTCAAGGTGATTCAAGGCGGGTTATTGCCGGGTCTGCCGAGTGCAATGATCATTTTTCCTTCTTTTGCGGAAACTGTGAACTGAGATATGTGAAATCATCGCATGGTTTCTGAGATGATGGGAGCAGAAAACAGGTCAACATTGTGTGAACACACAGCTTTGGCCGGTCACAGCGGGCTTGGGACCTGTTGGGATTCTGCCAAATATTGGTATTAGCCAGGGGAAATATGCCACGGTAGCATTTGTGCAAGAGCCACCAGATTTCATAGCGAGCTTGCAGCATCAGGTGGGTCAAAAAGACCAGCAAACTGTCCACGGCGAGCGGATGGCTGCAAGCTTAGCGAGCCCTGAAAACCATGCCAAAACAACACCGGAAGCCACGCCCCGACAGGCAGCGCGACAGATGTCTCACCCTAGCATGCATTAGCACCTATTGGCACCTATATAATCGCCTGATTCTGGCATAGTGGTCCAAAATCAATGGGACATTTAGTGCAACTGACTATATATTTGGGGATCTCTATCACCACCTGGCCATACCACCGGGTCACCTGGCCATTCAGCCGTTTTTGAGGTGTTTGCCACTGGTGGCTTGGAGCAGGTGCTCAGTGCTGCGGCGCTGGTCTTGGACTCCGCTGAGGTGGCGTGCGTGAGTGACTGGTGCGGGTTTGGCCTCCAACCTGTGGTGGTGACATGGAGAAAACATGAGAAAGCTCGTGCTGTACGGCGTACATTGGGGCTAAAGCAGGCATGCTAAAGCTAGACTCCAAGACTATCCAAGACTCCTAGACAAGGAACAAAACGCCGAAACGCCCACCTTTGGGAGGAGAGTGACAGAGGCTGCTGCAGCTTGTGCCCAAAACAGACGCTCAGAGGCTCAGAGGCTCATGCGAGGATAGATGACCCGCCATGCCCCCATGGCGGGTCTCTGCGGACCGCTCTTTCGGACCCGCCGCAGCGCCGTCGCCGCCCGTTCGCTGCCCTGGGCTTTTGCGTGATGCATCTCCTCCACCACCCTCTCTCCCAGACAGTGAGGTGGAGGAGCCTGAAGAGCCACAGCATAAGCTCCATGCTGCAGTGTGGCTTGGAGACACCCAAGCAGTGCAAGCAGTCTTGGAGCGTCGTGCTGATGTGAATGCCGAAGATGTGCATGGGGTTACTCCCTTGATGCTCGCTGTTGAGCTCATGGAGCGTTCGGAGGAGTATGAGCAAATGGTCGAGTGCCTGCTGAGCCATGGTGCACAACCACGACAGCGTTCTGGTGCTGGATGGTCCCCTTTGGATGAGGCTGTGAGCCGAACTGATGTGAAGCTCGTACGAACTCTTTTTGACGCCGTGCAGAAGGATTTGCGCCGTCGATGGGATGTACGCTTGGCCTCCATTGCCAAATCGTTGTGCTTACTTCCGGACTTTGAGTGTCAGATACGCTGGGAGTTTGAATCACCGGTGATTCCGCTGCTGAGCAAGATTGCACCCTCAGACGTGATACTTGTTCGAAAGAGAGGAAGCTGCCTCCGCCTCGACTCGACTCTCGCTTCGTGGAAACGTTTCAGGTTTAGCAAACGGCGGAACCTGACTACATTGTTCATCGGAGAGAGATTGAGTGAGGGGCTAGATGGGATGAGCTCAGGCACACCCCGTGCGTTGTTCATGATAAACCATGACAAGGAGGCGATAGTGGATATGACCCAAAGCCTTGACAGTGAAGAAGTGGCAGCTGTTGTTGAAGATTTGGTGAAAGCTGATGCCGTGCAATGGGACATGAAGATTGCCAGCTTGGATGTGTCAGAGTCCACTACATGGCTGGGATCCTTGCTTGGGCCTTGTGAGCTAAATGGTTGGACCTGCATGCGCTATGGGGTCAAGGGGGAGCTTGGGATGACCCTTCGCAAAAAGGGCTGGCGCATCCAGGACGTAACATTCCAGGAATATTTCGGGCAACCTTTGCCTGCGGATGCTTGCTTACCCGAGCTGCGGCGGAAATTTGCGGCTGCGAAAGAGGAGCTTGCGCCGGAGGCGCTCAAGCTGTCCCGTGCAGAAACTGACCATGGCTTTGGCTTTGCAGATGACGACTCCGAGGCTGGATCGGTTCACTCGGAAGTATTGGACCAATGGCCCCAGGAGAACGCTCCCCTGCCGGTGACGGTCAAAGTAAACGCACCGGTTCTGACGCCTCAGCCGCCACAGCCCAGCCGCCCGCTGGAAGCACGAGATCGGTGTGGGAGCTCTACACATCGAGTTTCTGGCAGCGTTTGGCTGGCGACGGACTTTCCCATTGACATGGAGCAGTTTGTGCCAGTCTTGGACACCTTGGCCGTGGAGCACAGTCCCATGAAGCGCCTCAAGGAGATCCTTAAGAGTGAGAGCCTCCGTGCTGCAGCGCAGCGCGCCCGGAGCTCGGTGGAGACCTGGAGCCGTGGACCGTCCCGAGAGTCGGAGCCCGAGAATCGCGGCCCTCGCGGGCTCCGGACCGTGTTCCCGGTGCGTGCGTCGGTGCCGGTGAACTTGGCCATCCGTGCCACGATGCATGTGGAGGCCTTCACCCTGAATGAAGGCCTTCCGATGAATGCCTTCCAGTTGCCTGCAGGGTACAAAGAAGTCCCTCGGAGTCAAGTACAGAAAACGGCGAGCCGTGCCAAGAAGCGCATGCTCATCGCAAATTTGGCCTTGTGAAAATCAATCCGTCGGGGGCAAGGGGGAAGGTTGTGAGGGATGCAAGTTCAGAACCTGAGAACCAATGTGCCAAATGCAAGTGCGTGCTTTGTGCATTTGCCCAAGCCTTTCCATCCTTTAACCTCCCCTTGTGTCCCTTCGCTTCCGTTCTCCACCCCCGCAAGCATGTCCACGCCACAAGGGCACTCGGAGAAGATCCCCATTACAATTTTTCAGGGAGGCATGCAAGTGGTAGCCAATCTTCACGTGCCACACCAGCCGCAGGCTGCTGCAGCTCCAAAATCGGCAGGGCACCAAGTGGCCAGTGGCCGTAGCTGGGAGAGGCCAATCAATTACATAAGAGGACTTTCAAGGTACTTCTTGAGAATCTTTGAGACAGATTTGTTGCTGTCGTATGCTTTCGTGACTGGTTGCCATGAAGGCCCACCATTTGCGTTTGTCCTCCATTGGTCCAGGCCGTGGCTGGAGCTTTTCCAGAGGCTGGTGGCTGCATGTGGCCGCACGGTGAAAGGGCGGGCAACTAATTTGGTTTGAGTCTCAGGATGCCCCATTTTCTTTTAAACATTGGTTTGCCTCATGCACTTGTTGTCTTTGGGGTGGTTCCCCTTCCGTCTTCATGTTGAAAGGTCATCCGAAGGGAGCTTCCGCGTGCTGCGCTGTCAGGCAATGGAGTGAGCTGAGAATGGTCGACTCACGATCTGGAGGTCCGAGAGTCCGAGAGAGGTAACTTTTTCCGAAACGCGATTGAGGGCTTTAGTCTAGGATGAGAGAACCAACAAGACCTGACGCGCATCTTGGCTATCGGAGTGTAGGCTGTACGCCTTACGTGGCACGATCTTCTTGACTGTCCCAGTCGCATTGCTGCATTGCAGCAGCATGAGGTGGAAAGCCACACCGCGATCCCTGAGCGCAGTGTGGCAGGGGCGTGGCCTCAAGCTGCGTTTGCAGACCCAACTTGCAACCACTCTGGATATCTTGATCGCCCCGGCCAGGAGCTTCACTGGCAGTTAGTTAGGTGGCAAGTAGCAAATGAGATGACTACTCATCTATGGAAAATGGGCGAGAGATCACTGTGTTGATCTGGCTCCGTTATGAGGGGCCACTGACTGGTTGAGATCGTTTCTGGTTGATGCTGCTTGCTGGTGCCACGACAGATCCTTAGGTCCTAGTGGTATGAGGCAAGAGTTGTGCGGTCAGTGGTGGCCATGTTTCACGTTTGGGCAGAGTTGGTTTCAATGTGAGATTCAGCAGCCATGTGGGCAAGCCGGCCAAGCCGTTTGGTGAGTTAACACGACCGCCAGGCTCGCGCCTAAGAGATGGGTCATGGGCAACTTGGGCTGGGGTGGGGCCTGAAAACAGGGAATGAAGTTGGATGAAAGCGTGTCCGTTTAACGTACCGCCTGCGAGTAAATACTGTAAATACTGTACCTCAAATCACAAAAACACGCACACACACACACACACACGCAGAGAGAGAGAGAGGGAGAGAGAGATATATATACATAAACACATGTATTTTAGATATGGTATGATGTATACTATAAGTATATATTTATATTATATTCGTGTGTATGGTTGTGGGCCAAAGGCTTAGGCCGAGAAGGACTCAAAGGCAGACGAAGCCCACCTCCACAGGCCGAATGGCTGGCCTTTGTTGCTGCCATGAGAGTTGTGGACTCAATCTGAGTGCACAGAATTCAGGGAGAAAATATATAATGGAATGTGACAGATGGGCTCTTCTGTCAGTCGGCACGAAGAGCAGAATCTGTACAACCAGATGACGCAGTCCTCCAAGTCTGGTGGTGAAGTGGTAGAAGCTTGGCTCGACTTGGCCTCCACTTGGGCAGCTTACCGGTGAGTCAGGTTACGAGTCTGAAAGCTCGGACGATGAAGAAGGCATTGCTGAGGCTGTGGGACGGTCGAGCAAGGAATCAGGAAGTAGACCGAGGTGGACATTGAAGAGACCATACCACAGTTGCTCCATGAAATTTCCCCAGTAGATTGTTCGTGTATCAACTGTGGCCCTTCTGCAGATCGGCAGTTTGTACCGCCTGCTTCAGATATGGCAGGTGACCCTGCACATTTACGACGTTTCTCGAAGTGAGAAAATCGAAATGGCGGCAGCCTTGTGAGATGCAATCACAGCCCCAAGTTTGGACAAGAGGAAGTGCTGTGGATCCAAATCCAGTTTTAAACTTGGCCTACTTCAATGACTCTCGTGTATGTTTTTCCCGAATGCGTAGCGAAGGGTTCTCGTTTAACTCTTGGGGGTCTGGGGGTAGAGCCTTGTTCGCGATCCGTTGTTTCTACGTCCGCAACCGTCCGCAACCGTTCGCAACCGTTCGCAACCGTCCGTAACCGTCCGCAACCGTCCGCAACCGTTCGCAGTAGAGCGCTAAGGCGCTGCCATTGGGGGAAGCTTTTGCAAGTGACTATGCATGGATGTGTCACGTGTGAGTTTGCGACGCGAGTCCATTGTGATTTGCGTGAAAAGGACATGTCGCGCAAGAAGCGTGATGCATTTCGCTGCACAGGCGCAGCGTTTCGTGAGATCCGCAGTTTGCGACGCAGTTCCGTTGGGAAAAGCGCTTGGAGTGTCGTGTTTTTGGGGTGTTGGATGTGGCCGTGCCATTGGGATTTGCGTTTCAGGGTGTGGCATCGAAGCTCTGTTTTCGTGACAAGTCTCAGCTGAAATGCCGATTTTGGTGGATGGGAGTGTGCTCAGAACGGGTCGAAATCATTCCAAGCGTGTGGTGTGGTGCAAATTTTGTTGAAGCTCACATGAGATGATATTGTCACTTTTCGTGGCAGGCGCAGTACTTTGTGTGGGCTTTGAGGCGTGGAAGTGCGATTCTCGTGGCAGGCGCAGGGAATGGTGAGGTTGCGAGGTGTGACGGAGGTGACATTTCGTGGCAGGCGCAGTACTTTGTGCGGGTTAGACATGTGGATGCGGAAAGATTCGTGGCAGGCGCAGGGAATTGCGAGGTCGTGAGTTGTGGTAGAAGTGAATGTCGCTGTCACAGTGGGATTGGCGTGTGAACGGGTGTTGTTTGGAGGGGCTGGACTCGCGAAGCTGCTTGGCAGGGCTGCGTGATGTGTGTGCTCCGATGGGTGTTTCTGCCTGACTTTTGGAGGAAGTCTCGTACGATATGCTCGTTTTGCAGACTTTGACATGTGACTTTTGGAGGAAGTCTCATACGAAACGCTCGTTTTGGAGACTTGACACGTGACTTTTGGAGGAAGTCTCGTACGAAACGCTCGTTTGGGAGACTTGACATGTGACTTTTGAAGGAAGTCTCGTACGAAACGCTCGTTTTGGAGACTTGACGTGTGACTTTTGGAGGAAGTCTCGTACAAGAGTATCCCACAAGAGTTTGCTACAAGAGTGTCCCACAAGAGTGTCTCACAAGAGTGTCCCTTAAGAGT